CCAGAGCTCAACAGGTCGCTTTGTGCGACGGCGGCGGGAGAAGAGGAAGGGGGTGGGGAGACAGAGACAGGGACGGCGCATGGGGCGGCGGAGGGCGGAACGTCCGCCACCGCCTCTTCCGCCCAGACGGCTGACGAATTAAGGTTCGCAACTCGAGAGGAGAGGACAATTTCTTCAACCATAATGAAAAAGAGAAAACAAGCTCTTGTGTCTGGGTTGATTCAGAAAAGGGACGCTAAGTGACAGTTTGGGCCCTACGCACAACAGTAATTAACAGTAAAACTACTACCGCTAGTAATACAACAGCAAAACTGCAACCGCTGGTAATAGCCTTTACCCTGCCGAAATATGCATGACCGCATCGCAGTTGTCGCAAATCACAGCCTCCCAGGTGTTAGCAACCTTTATTTAGTGCTTCTAGGAGTCAAAGTTAGAATCGCAGAATGCACCAGCCACGAACCACGCCAAGGAGACTGTCAGACTAATCCGCCCGTGTTCAGATGGGGTAAGCGTCTCTGAATGTCGTCCGACGAGGTACCACTGCCAGGTTTCGCATATTTTTTCCACAGGACCGGTTTTCACGGGTCGCAGCCATCTGTATCTTTGTCTCTGTCACCTGGCAGGCGACTGTGGTAACAGAAGCATGAGACGGGTGCGTGATACCGGAGACGGCGGTGAACGCAGCTGGAGTCATACAGCCGGCCCTGGGCTTTAGCTTCAGGTGCTTTAGAAGTCAGGGCTTTAGGGGCCGTTCAGGCGTAGAACAGTCACGAGGGACAATTAAAATGAGTAGGATCTTTACCATCACACCTGCTTGTACAAGCTGCTCACACGGCACGTGCTGCCGCCCGATGCCGTCTAGCCGTCTGTCAACAAGCGTTACAGGTGAGCCAGCGTGGGATATGGGTTATACAGAATAAATGCAGCGAAAAAACCAAGTCATTGCCGATTCACCCCCTCCCCCTCACCCAGGTTTCGAATTGTAACCTATTTGATGGGCAAGTCTCAATCGTGGTGATATCAAAAGGCGCAAACTTTTGGCATTGTCGTGGGAGTAAACAAAAAGCAAGGCCAATCAGCTATGTCGGCTTCATCTGAATATGACGATGAGTTAGCACGCATTCCTTTCCGATTAGATGTTGCAACTTCGTTTGGCACAGAAGTCTATATCTTCAATCGATTTTTTCGCAACATCAGTGAGCAGTGCAGAAGAGAATACAAGCACTAGACAACTGGCTGTGTCACAATGCATAGATCTACATTGGCCCCCTGTCTCATAATGCAATACTTAATCCGCCTCTAGCATAAGCCAAGGCAATTGGTCAAAGGAGGTGGGGAGAGCACATCTTCGATGCAGCATCGATGTGCGTTTGGATAGTAACAAGTCCCACCCTTCTCCATCTTGATGTGCCTGACACTACCCGCAACTATCGGTGCATCCGGCTCTGCAGCATCTGAACTCTGCTAAAATGTTCTACCCATTCTATCATCATTAAAAAAACGTTGGAAATTGTCCAGACGAAAATCTCAGAAATCGTCGGGCCACGACTTTTCCTTTTACCGCCCATGAATTGTACACGTATTTGGTATCAATTGTTTGGCTGGTAATCGAGTAACAGTTACCACATAATCACATAGTCATTGATTACAGCACTGGGGCGAACGTTGCTTCATTGTGATATTACCCCATCAGCAGCTATCTTAAGCCGCACCTGTGACTTATAATATTCAGCTTGGCGATATTTGCAGTCTGCTGGAAAACCATGTCCCTTTGACATGAAACACAAGTCGTTCGGCATCGCCCGCCTGGGCCATCGATGACACCTGCTTCTGAATCGGTGATGTTACCCCCTCACATTGTACACATTATTCAAACGTTGATTCCTCAGGCTTAATATGTGAGCAATCGAAATCTAACACATGACTGGCAGCAAGTTAACAGGTACCATTTGAGCGTACATACATTAGTTTCAGTATCCATACCAGGGTCGATTAACTATGACATTGCTGCCCTTGCATGACATCTGCATCAGCCCATAGCAATTACATTTTTTTTCAGTAAATATAGCGCCCGATCCTCATGATCTATTTGGTCACATGAAAGATAATCTCAGACAAATATCACTATCATCATCAGTGATTGGTGACCAGTCAATGCATGCCTCAGAAGACAGCGATTTGTCCTGATATGCTTCCCACAAATCCCGCCTGGAATCACACCCAGAGCATTTAAGGCGGCAGGAAAAGTAATGTAATTTTAGTGCTCCAGCTGCATTGACTTAAGGGTGAGGTAGGAACCGCTCAGGGCGTGGGCCGCATCGGCGTCAGCATCTAAACAGGTCCAACAAACCGTGCCTGGGCGGCGTGCTCTGCTTACAAGTGAAAAACTAAAACGCACGGAAGCAGCTTCCGCACGAACAACGCAAAAGCAGTCTCACAGCGAACAGCGCAAGATCAGCTTCGGAGCATTGCCAGAGTGACATGGTCAAGGCCCATAACGGGTGCGAAATAGGTTGCACTGCAGGATGCCGCGAATGGTGGCGATGCGTCACGACGACAGGCAGGCTCCGCTGGTCTGACCTACTCAGCGCACCGCGGCGCCAGCAACGACACGGGCGGACTTCTATGTCATCTCCGTGTAGCTAACATGAGCAAGAGCGCAAGAACAAGAACACAGGCGTCTTGTGCATGACTAGCAAATGCCCCATTATTGCGACATCAAGCTGAGTGCACCACGCCGCATGAGCTTTAGGCACTAGTCTTCAAGTGATTTGATCAGGCACAACGTTAACTCTCAAACCTTTTGCCGAAGCAGTTTATGGCAGCAAGTCTTTTATTATTGAACACTGCCACGGCCACTTCATTTTAAGGGCGTGATCCAGATTATTTTCTGTGTGAAGCAGCATGGAAAAGTATCGGTTTTATTTGACCCTCAGAAGCGTTCGCATTTATTCAGAAAATATGTAGCTGAGCACTCGGCGTAGACGTGAGGGGACACGGCGCCTGTTTACCTGTGCCCCTGGTCGTACCTGTGATTGGGTACGAGCGGCAAGAGCGTCATCAGAACCCTTTAGCATTCGGTTCCGACACTGGGAGGTGCGACGGAGTTGACTGACAGGATTGAATTTAAGCACGCCATGTTGTGCTCAGCGTGGCATTGCCGTCTTGTCTGTCCTCGTCTGGCATTGAACGCTAGTGGTAAAGGATCAAACTACTTACGTCAAAGCGCAATGATGGGCACAATCGCAAATGAAGCTCGGCTCGATGAGCCAAGTCTCCGATCGCACATGCGTCATCATTTTTTGTTGTTGGCTTTGTTTGAATTCGAAATCACTTTGTGGATTTACGAGTCCATTTTGTTGTGCGAACAATAAATGTGGAAAACCGTTGTGCGAACCTAGTTCTTACAACATTCAGTCAAAATCATTAGAATGAATGGATTTCTTGGATCAGCGCTTACGCTAAGCACTGCTTATTGCAGGCGCCTTAACTCCTACCATTCACCCTGAGCCCGGTAAACCTTCCCAAATCGCGCGACCACAGGAGCAGCACCGAGCATCAGCTGCCTGTCACGTCCCTGACCAGCGCGTCCCTGTCATCCCTCTAAGCCGGCTGGTCAGGGGGCATCCAAGTGCGCATTCAGCGGGATGGACTGCTCTAACGAGTCTTACCCTGGGCCGTGGACCTGATATGGACCATGACCGGCCTCCGGATGCGACAGTGATTTTGTCGCTGTTACAATCCCCACTGCGGTATGGACTCTGGGTCACGCCAGGCGAAGCCCACCAATTGACATAAAATTGCAATGATGTTATCACAAGGAAATGATGAAAATCACAATGAATCACAATATTCACAAAGTCAAATGAACAATTCATTACAAATCAGAACCATGCTAACATTGTCGGTCCTGAAATCAGGTTACTTTTTGGCTTTATTACAGATGGGTTTTCTTTTCTATCCATGGTAAAAGCGTAGAGTGACAACAATGCTCTCGGAAGATTCTAAATATTGCAAAAGTATACCAAACACTTCGACAAGTGGGGGGGGGGGGGGGGGGTCAGCACGAAATAAACAGCACATAACACACGACAGCGCTTATGTAGGAAATGCAAGGGTGAGCGAAATACCGCGAATATCTTGTGCTGGCTCGGCCATTTGCGCGAGCTACTCCGGAGTTCGTCTCCGAGCTGCCTTACACGAGACCACTTCATAGCTTGCCCCACAAATCAGATTCTAGATTAGGTGCAGATCATCTACAAATTACACCAGAATGTGTCAAAAGCAGCCAGTTCCAAGCGCATTGTTTCGTTTAGCATGCCTTCTGAATAAATACAACAACCATCTCACATCGTATATGCTACTTGCTGTTTGTTTCCGTTCTCGGACACTTGATCGTATGAAATAGACTGAACTGAGACGATTACATCCCGCTGGTTTGCCAGTCGCGTCAAAACTATAATCTACGGGACCGACTATCCACTAAGCAAAACATGCCTTCAGCATTATCAGTATTGTGAGTTATTCACTTAGTAAAAACTACCTCCCCACATGTTGGAACCCCATGGTTGAAAACAGGAAGTAATCGCTGAAATATATTGTAAAATGCCCAAAGTTTTTAGCAATGCTCCTGGTCCTGGCAGTGGGGGCACGTGAGAGTCACTTGTGACCATGGGAACCACTCTAGACATTGATAATAATGATATAACATTTCACTGACAGCATTATGCCTTTAAACCAACGCCTGCGCGTAGTATTTTGCCGGCCGCATATCAACTGCACAACAACTCACGACACTCTAATGCCCTCTGGCGTAACAGCTAGGTAGACCTGGTGACCCAGCGGATAAGCTGAAGGGTTACAGCTACCGATAAACGTAGAGCAGTCGGCAGTGCTTGGATCGTAGTTCCATCACGCCACCGATAAACGTAGAGCAGTCCGCAGTGCTTGGGTCATAGTTCCATCACGCCATCACTGTGCGTCACTGCCGCCGGACCTACCTTGAGTAGCGCGGAGCCGACCACTCCGCCCAGGCACTGGACAATGATGTAGCAGACGGCCCTGATCAGGGTGATGTGACGCGTCACCAGCATGGCCAGCGTGATGGCCGGGTTGATGTGGCAGCCGCTGATATGGCCGATCGACTGTAACACACACAGACGCGTGTTTGTCAGGCGTGTGTGGGTCAGACGTGTGCGGGTCAGACGAGCACGTGTAAGACGTGTGTTGGTCAGACGTGTGTGAGGCAGACGTGTGTGAGTCAGACGCGTGCGGGTCAGGTGTGTGTGGGTCAGACGTGAGTGGGTCAGGCGTGTGTGGGTCGTACATGTGTGGGTCAGGCGTGTGTGGGTCGGACGTGTGTGGGTCAGGCGTGTGTGAGTCAGACGTGTGTGAGTCGGGCGTGTGTGAGTCAGATGTGAGTGGGTCAGGCGTGTGTGGGTCGTACGTGTGTGGGTAAGACGTGTGTGAGTCGGGGCGTGTGTGAGTCAGATGTGAGTGGGTCAGGCGTGTGTGGGTCGTACGTGTGTGGGTCAGGCGTGTGTGGGTCGGATACGAGTGAGTCAGACGTGTGCCCATTGAAGACGGGCGGGTGTGCGATTCGGACTTGCACGAGACAAACATTGCAGACAGACGCATGCGGGCCGATAAACGGCGATCGCCCTCCCCCCCCCGCCCCTCCCACCTGATTAAGATGGGGTGATGTTTCAGCCATTAACCGGTGGGCACGAAGTATCAGCCGTTTGCAGACCGATAAACGACCATAGCAGGACAAAATGTCAACGAGGCGTAAAGGGAATGTTGGAATGCGAATGGGACTGGTGTTGGTTAGTATGTGCTTTGTACTGTACGTTCGGCTCGTACAGCAGGACACCTTGCATTCCTTGGAACCACGACTTGCAAGAGAGGTAGCAACAAACGCTGCAAAGTTACCAGTGATGAAGCAGTGGTGTTTGAAGAATGCAACACAAATGTGTCATCCGTGTTATCGTCATCCGTGCTACAAAGCGCAGGGTGATCCTTTCATGACCAACTATGGAACAGTTTGAAATTTTGCCCTTGGGCATTACTACAGCTACCTAACCCTCTGAAGAGAAAGGAAATGCAGTGGTGGGTTGACTAAGTTTACTTAACTTCCTTACGACACATATTTTAATGAGAAAGTCACGCACGCGAGTTATAAATATGCCACAACAAGGGTTTAGTTAACATTGTGCTAGGACAGTTCAAATTGCCTACCTGTAGTTGTGCTTTTAATTACATTTGTTCAAAGTGTCCTTCGTGTAGCGTCTTCACACTGTGACATTGTATGTGACGTAGGACTCCATATAAGGACTCTTAATACTACTAGATGGACGCGCTGGAAGGTCCGGCTCAGCTGTCGGGCTAGCGACGGCTGGTTTTTCCGTGTGTACCAGCCCGCTCCTCGAGCCTGTTGCTGAGTTGTGGGATGTTACAAGGAGTAGTCATCGTAGGGTCACCAGTGCGCTCAAGACAGCGGTCGAGTTAGACGTCCCATGTTCCGGAAGTACACTGGACATCATGATCTCTGCTAGAAAAATGCAAACATTGTAAATGTCAGTCAGCACCTTATAGCGGTTATTATACTGCATGAAGGGGACAATGGGACAACATAATACAAAATTGACAACTGACAATTGACAGCTGAGAACTGACGGAAACAAGTTTTGGGCAGGCACCAGCAGATGAGCCTCTTCACTGACTTTGTCATGTAATGTAGCCGGTCAGCGGCGCTCAGTTTTGGGATCACCGCGGGCGGACTGCTCATGCTCGGATCGCGAAGCTATTTGTAGCTATTTTGGTAGGGCGAGCCCCAGGACGAGAGCTCCGCCCGGTGGGGGCCTTAAAATAGCTCGCACTTCGTCCATTAGGTTCCATCCCATAACCTAGCGGCTCATTCGCACGTGCCTGCGGCAAGTGGTCTTGTAGAACTCGACGCACGTGATAGGCGGCGTTATGGCTCACTAAATTACCTGGACAAATGCCTTGAGATTATATAATATTCGGATTCTGACTTTCCAAGCACAGACATTTACGCTCAGCCAAATATCAAATATGCGATCAGGTACTACCTATATCTTGATGTTCCAACCAGCACCGACGCAGAGGCTCAGTCGCTGTCAGGGCCATCCGGTCACAGGGTCAGCTCGCGCAGGCGAACCAGTCTCTCCGTATCCCCGTATTTGGACAGGGCCAGGAAGATAGGCCTCGACGGTGTAATTTGATGACATCTGAACCGCTATGGGCACCTGACGCCACACCCAGATGTCACAACTAATTTATTCCGCTCCTGTTCCAGTGGTTCTCTTATGTGGAGGGCCACCACTTGACGGCTTGATTGGTGTCGAAGCGGGCTATCACCGCTCTGAACAGCACCCAGGTTCAGCGCACGGCACACAACGGAGTCGGCTGGCGTCACCAGAGTTCCGCCTATGTCGGACTGGGGCAGGCGGCGGTGACACCGTCGGTGACGCTGTCCCGGCTGACTGGGGCAGGCGGCGGTGACACCGTCGGTGACGCTGTCCCGGCTGACTGGGGCCGGCGGCGGTGACGCTGTTCCGGCTGACTGGGGCAGGCGGCGGTGACACCGTCGGTGACGCTGTCCCGGCTGACTGGGGTAGGCGGCGGTGATACCGGCGGTGACGCTGTCCCGGCTGACTGGGGCCGGCGGCGGTGACGCTGTTCCGGCTGACTGGGGTAGGCGACGGGGATACCGTCGGTGACGCTGTCCCGGCTGACTGGGGTAGGCGGCGGGGATACCGTCGGTAACGCTGTCCCGGCTGACTGGGGCAGGCGGCGGTGACGCCGTCGGTGACACTGTCCCGGCTGACTGGGTCAGACGGCGGGGATACCGTCGGTGACACTGTCCCGGCTGAGCGGC